AGGTCAAACCAAAAAGCATGCAGCTGACATCTACTTCACAACAACTGAAAAAACAGCAGTCAAGTGTGTTTGATAGTCTGTAAAATGTGGTTGTTGGACAAAAACGTTTTGTGCTCGAGTCATTCTTCACTATCCATCACTCTGGCCTACGTGTAGTGTATTATAACAGCATGGTCTGAAACAACAGCAATCCAGACGTCCATCCATTTATCAAACTCTATCCATCCATCAGTGGCCAATTTAGCAGCAGAACAGAGCAGCGGAGGGAACTGTGTGCTAGTCACCTGAGTCAGTGAGGTGGGGAGAAGGGGGAAGAACATTTATATGGGGTGGTGGGAGTGATTTTCAAAACTAATCACCCACGTTAAGGTCACGCTAACAAGGGAACGCAGGTAGCCACACACACACTCCTAGAGGACGATGGACGCAGAACAAATCACACACACCTCTGTAACTAACCACACACATAAACAAACTGCTTGCTTTTTACTCGACATCTTTGCATTTTTTGTGCCGCTGATCAAAACTGTGTCATCACAATAGGAAGGGGGATGATGACATCTGCATTTCCTGTTTTCCTGTTTGTTGTTTCGTTTCCTTTGTTTATGTCTGCTGCTACGTAACACCCAGGAGAGACGTAAAGATTTATCACATACGCCAAAAACATTGCACCTACACACACTTTTCTCTTCCCTCTCCTCCTCAGTCGTTTTTTTTTCATTCTTTACTTCATTGCTTTCATTCTTCATCCCATCAATCTCTCACTTTCTCTCTCAACAGGGAGCAACAGAATCCACTACAGGCTCTCAAGTCTTTCTCCTTTGGGAATCTCCCATCTTTGACTCTTTTGAAGTGATGGGTTAACCCTCCTAAGAATGCTTAATGTAGCCCTGTGCATGTGTGTATCCGTGTCTGCCCCACATGTAAATGTAAGCACCTCACATTTGCCCTCCTACAAGAGTTGAACAAAGCACTGCTCCAAAATTCCTTCTCCAAACAACAGGGCCCTCTGCGCCTTAGCTAAGAGTTACAACTAAACAACACGCCGAAAACACAACAATAGAACAGCAACTCGAACATCCACTATGTCTATGTCTGGATTTCACTGTACAGTTGCCTGGTTTTGTCTGGAGCAACTGAATGACATGAAAGTACACAAGATTTAAATTTTTTCTTTCTTTTTGAATGTGTTGTTAAATATCAGCATGGTTGTAATTGTTTCTATAAAACTGTTCAATCAGCAAGAAATTAATATTGAGTAACATATTTTAGACACAATATTGCCAGATATTGTGTTTATGAAAAGGTTTGTTTATGAATTTTTGGAGTTACATTATAGCTAAAAACATATTTACACAATACCATTTAAAAGTTTGGGGTCAAAAATACAGGAAAACCAGTAATTTTGTGAAATATAATCATTTAGAATAATTGCGTTATATTTTAATATGTTATGCCAATGCTGAATTTTTAGCAGCCATTACTCCAGTCTTCAGTGTCACATGACACTTCAGAAATCATTCTAATGTGCTATTGGGTGCTCAAGAAATTTAATTATTATTATTAATGTTTAAAATAGTTGTGCTTCACTTTTTTTCCTAAAAACTGTGATACATTTTTTAAGGACTGTTTGATTTATTTGCATTTATTTGAAATAGTAATGTAGAGTGTTACCAAAAATTTCACTATTACTATACATTCTATCATTTCATGCTAAATAAAACTATACATTTCTTTAAAAAAAAGTTTTAAGTCTAATATATAGAATATACCTAGTTTCATTTCTTACATGATAGTTGAAAAAAAGATAAGATAAAATTTTAAAATGTAAAAAGTAAATTTTCATTTATTAATAATAAATAAATAAATAAATATATATATATATATATATATATATATAT